TAACTGGCTCTTAGTGGCTAGTTAGGCCCGATATGAGGCATTTTTGTTATGATTGCTCCTTATGGATAGACAAAATGACCTTTATTGAGTCGTCTCTTAATTCCCTTATAATTCGATTTTTGTTAGACGTTGCATAGGGCCCCAAAGTATTTTTCATCTTCTAAATGCCTACTTACGCACACGATTTATACATCGTAGCCCCCTTTATCCACTTCTCACAGAAATCTTCAATGGAGGTGTTTCAAAAGATGTGGCAGTACATGGAGTCGAACCCAGATGTTTTCGTTGCCAGTGTTGAAAAGGGCGTGGAACGCGTTCGTTCATCAAACAAAGACTATGCCTTCCTTCTTGAGTCCACGATGAACGAGTATTATAACCAACGCAAACCATGCACCACTAACAAGGTACGAAAATAGGACAAGCCTTTCTTCTCTGTATATTAGTATCGCAGTTTTATAAGGGCTGCTTATGTAGCATTATTGTTATTAGGCTATACGATGGCCCTCAACTTGAGCATAGATGCTCTCTGATTCATGCTAATGCCACCACTAATATTGTAGAAAGCCTTCCCAAGAGTTATGATCCACACTAGCCAGGAAACCAAGCATAACTGTAGTGTGCAACCACCACAGCATATGTATACCATGCTGATTTTGGCCCATGAGCGGGAATACGATTCGTCCTCAGGAGCTGCTAGATTCGCGATTAGCTCGCCTTCAGCCTTCAAAGACAATCTGCGTTTGAGGATAATAAGCATCTGCAACTCACACCCAGCGAAGTAACGACGAAATTGACTCCCTTGACATGTCCATTACATTTGCTCTTCTTTGATTAAACAGGCTTTAACATAGGAGATCGCCTTTCCTGTAATTTAACTAATGGGACGTATGAATTCTAAATGTTTAGTGACTATCTCTTCGTATGCAAGTGCCTGATGTAGGCATTCATAGATAGATGTTACAAAAAGACGACTGTGGATTCCTGGTCTCATTAGTCTTCCAGGTCTATGTAGTCTTTGAAACATCCTACTTCGGTTTGGGTGTAAACAACATGAGTTTTCATTTTTCATATCACTTGATAGGCACCGTCAGAAGTGGATGTTGTTCCAAAAAATCGTCTTTCCAGCACCAGGTCCTAAAGGATAACTCTATCTGCAATAACTACTCGAAACAATAACAAAAAACGACAGAATAAAAAAAAAGATTTCGCTCGTGTTCATTTTTATTCATCCTCAATCTAACTGATTGTATGTTTCAGTGTGCGTCTGTGTGTGTGGACTCGTGGACATTCGAGCACAAAATCGCTAGTCATTATGCTGAGTAGCAGAGCGTAACGCTCGTCAGGGGTAATCAACGTTGAATGACTCAAATAAAGCAGGCCTTTGCTTGCTTAATTCCGCCGTCATCCGCTGGTGAGTTCGACCTACGAATGCCTTTCTCAGACATTTTTACATGGAATGCAAGTGGCCACAACCATTTATGAATGCCATGGTGAAACCAATTTTTTTAGCATTGGCGATAGCGAACCTAAGGCTTACGGTGTATAGGTATAGTATGTCGGATAAGCAGACGAATCTTCTTAACTCGTTAACTTTGAAAAGTTGTGAAAATGCTACCCAGCTTTAATGGCGTCAATAAAGTGGCGTGTCAGACGAAAGCTTAAAGCTTTCGTAGTAACCGAAGGGGGCTGTCTCGGGGGCCAAAATAGAGCTGGCCAAGGGAAATGTGTCTTTGTCTTCTGGTGCTGTCGCTTCATAACACACTTTCAGTCGGAATAAAAGTTGGTTTAAGACGCGAAAATCAAGAGATGATTCGAAAAGAAGGCTTTCTTCGTATGCATTATTTCATAAAAGATTATTTTGGAATTTGCCATTTAAGCAGTTACCTTTCACACTGTCAACTTACCCTCGCTTTGAAGATATGAAGCCCAATATGGTATGGTTTTTATTTGGTCACAGTTTAAAAGTCTTAAAGGAAAAGGTATCCTTATACGTTTGAATCCAACCAATTTTCTCTGGCATAGGCTGCTTATACTTTAGTTCAAAGTGATGGTGCATTCAAGCCTTTATTTCGCCAACTAGCTCATATAGGAGAGTGCAAGCACTCGAGCCAGTTGCCGCATCCATCAATCAAATGAGTGGAAGTCGCGAATCACAAACAACGACTAAGCATAGCATCAGATGTCGCGAGATAAGGGGCACGGCTCTTGTTGTTTTATCGAATCATCATGACACAAAACACGAATGCATATGCTTGGCTGCATAGTCAGGAGCGAAAGGATGCGGCTTTGGGGCTGGAAGTTGTTCCACCTGCCACCACAGCCCTACTAGACTTGATTAGCTCTACTGATCGCAGTGTTCTATAAGCAGGACATTTGGCTACTTTGTGAGGCGGTAACATGTGTAGAGGGTAGATAATGGCAGGTTGAAACCAGCAAATTATATGCGAGTAACCATGTGCATTTGTACAGAAACCTATTTTACTGCTGGCATTGATGACATATACTGACTTTAGTGTGTTTTTATTCCTCTAATTCGGTCTTTCAAGGTGGGTCCAAACCTCGACAGCGGCAAGGGTTATGGAGTCGCCACGCCGCCCGGTTCAGATCTGCGCGATCGTATCAACCTGGCAGTCCTTGAGCTGAAGGAGCAGGACAAAGTCACCCAGCTTTATCGGAAATGGTGGGAAGAGAAAGGCGAATGTGGAGAGATGGAAAAGTCGGGCGAGGTGAGTTAAACGCAAAGCTTGTGAGTTGTTGAAGATATGAAGACCAGGATGTTTTGGCCCCTGGTATGGTCGCAGTCTCCTTTCGATTTATAGAAGTGGGTTGACCTCGTTGTCGCAACTTGGT